CCACGGTCTTCTGCCCTTCTCCTCGCCTCGCCTCACTCCTCCGCTGCCACTTCACAGCCATCGAAAGTCTGCAATACTAAACTTGACACGCCAAGTCAGAAATTAAAAGCCTAGTCAGCAGTCTATTCTCATAAAAAGCTCTTCGTAATAATTACATATAATGAATGCCCGTACCACGTGTCAACTTCCTCTCTTTCCTTCCTCTCTTACCTCATTTGCTCCTTCACCTACATCTCTTTCTTCCGCTTATCCGTCTTGCAAATTCGTTACATGACTATTTAAGACATGGCGGGTAGGAGGCTGTACTGATGATTCCATTTCCTTCCCGCATGCACATTCGGTCTATGTATACAACTAAGGGATGAAACACAAGCTACATCATAACATGTCTTCATACACATGGCATTCAAGTGAAATTTCTATTCTATTTTTTATAAAACCCAGAACCCCACCCAGACAGAAAACCTAGCACTATGGTTTCCGCTATTCGAATCAAATCCAATCTATGAATAAAGCAAACTATTAATTTGCAGTAAACCTAGGCACAAGTACTGGAAAAGCAAAAAACAGCAGAGCCGAGCCAAACCTTGTAATGGGCTAAACCGTGCCAAATGCTTTTGTTGAGAGAACAACTGAGCTGCTAATCCGTTCAGGAGACGAAGCGAACATAAGATCTATCAGGGGCTTAGCTAGCAAGCTATGCAGCAATCGGAAAATTTGCCAGCTGAGGAAGCGAACTATGAATTACAGCGGGCCCAGGCTTAAGTATTGGAAAATCAAAAAACAGAAAACCAAGCAATGCCTTCCGACAAATTCGTATGCCCGGATGGATTCGTATGGTATCCCGAAGGCCCACTGGAGCTCAAGATTAGGAGGATAACGATCATGCTTGAAAGTCGAGGTGCATGATTCGGACATGCAAAGCTTTCATTTCAATGTTCTACCTGGGTCACCGTTTCACGATGTGACGCATAAGACGGATACGTTAAAACGCCTGTCAAACAATGTTCCTGGAAAGCACAGTGCGCAAACAGCTGCAGCGCATACAGAACAACAAACTGACCCACAAAATGGCAACCTCATTCTTTATATACTGCTATCAAATGAAGTACCGCACCATTTGAAACTTAAAATATGCAAAAGAAGAAACCTAGCTATACGTGTACGTTGATTTTTTTTAATGCGTTTTTGCATATCTGCAAATGCAGAAACACACATTGGCAAGAGGCCGTCTGTCTGTGTTCATACTTTTTGTCATCCACTTTCAACTTGAGAACCAGAAAAGCTAAAAGGCTGAAACTTCGGGAGTATTTGCCTGCACCAAGTGCGGCCCTCTCCTTTCAATGTCATCACCTATGTTTGCCTGGCTGCCGCGTGCGGGCGCTTTAAAGAAACATGCAAATTTTTGGCAGGAAAGCGATCTTGAGAGCCAGAGCCGATGGAGCGCTGAAACTTTGCAGGGGCATTCTCTGTGCAAGTGTGAGCTAAATATTTCAAATTCAGCCCGGTTCTCACGATGAGCACGTGAAAATTTCGCCGGAAAAATCCCAGGGACTCGGAAACCAGAACTAAAAGGCTGAAATTTTAAGGGTATATTCTCCGTCCATGTACAATTTAAAGATTTCAAATTCAACCACACGGTACGCGTAGTTTTCACATGCGGGGACTTAAAGGTTTGGCGTGGAAAGTGCTTACTAACAGTTAGATCATTTTCAAGGAACAACCGTTAAACGGGAACGTTCATTTCTTTTATAGAAAACCTACGATTTATGCTAAGGAGCGCAAAAGATGGGTTTAAAGCAGCAACCATTCATACAGTTAACGGCCTGAGTACTTCAAGTCCGATGCAAAAACTTATGATCGCACCGGTAGGCCTGGTGGGTTCCAACCTTGGTTAATTGTCTGAAAAGCATATAGGCTAAAAATATCATTGTAAAATTTCAGTTTCCTAGCTTCAGCGGTTGCAAAACTGAACCTGGATGACAGAAATCGCACACACATACGCACATACACACATATATACACTATAGCTTCTTGATAATGAATTTTTGCGTTTGCATAAGCACAAACATAATGAACAAGTCAGAACAACCACAAGAGGATGCGTTTCTGCAGTCATCTCCACCGGACGCTTAGTATTAAGGACGTCTACTACTTTACCGATTCATCTGTTTGCTTATTTTCAAACCGTTTTGGCCAGCTTGTTTTCCACTTTTCTTATATTCCATGCAAAAACCTCGTATCTCTAAGTAAGACAGTGATAGGCGTCGGAGCTGCTTTCACGTTCATGTGTCTACATACTGATAAAGAACATCTCCGAGGAACACCTGCTTTTTAGTTTACCTGGTATTCCAGTTGGCAAATACCAACAGTGTCCCAGTTTCAAAAAATCTTAAGTACCTGCACGCAACACGTAGGCGTATGTGGAGGCTGAATCTAAATTTTCAGGATTTCACATGAACAGGGCAAGCAATCGTCAAATTTCAGCTTTCTAGCTTCCCTGGTTGCTCAGCTAAAAAACCTGCACAAATATCTAAACCTGCACAAATACACACATACACGCACAAACACACATACATACGTGCATACACATACACATATACACGTAAACACATCTCGACAATATATTTTTGCATTGCAATAGAGCAAAAACGCATAAAAAGCGAAAAAAATAACTAAAACTTGCCAAAAACAATCCCAATACCCGGCTAAAAGCAATATTTAATAAAAATTTTTTAAGCTTCTCGGCGCTCAAGTATGCAAATAATACGTGTATCAGATACAAGTACTGCAACTTATCAAAGAAGCGCGTAAAAATGGCTTTACGTAACGATTTTGCCTGATATACATAGCAGTGGCACAAAGATTCAACAACAACAACACATATGGACATTTTATTGGACCCCGAAACAACTTAACAAAAATGTATCGATAACAAAAACCGCACAAAAAAGTAACAAAGTACCCTTGGAAAGACAAAATAATTATTAATATTATAATTCACCAATGTTTCATTAAGATTTACAGACAAGGACAATAACTGAACCAGCGATGACAGGGAACTAATAAATACTATTTCTTTGATCAAATTGATGGCGAGCATAGCTTGAGAATTGTATTAATGAATAATACAGCTATTTCTAGTCGGTCTTCAGCAGGAAAATAAGGAGACTGAGGGATAAACATAATGATTTAGTTACAGTGAACTATGAGATTGAGGTAAGAACTGTACAACTGAATGGATCGAAAGCTCGGCAACAAAAACTAATATAAAAATTCGTAGTAAATGTTCAATATCTAATATCTGATACTAGACACGGGCTGTGCAACGGACTTCTGCAAGAACCCACACAAGGAGGGAGCCGCAAAATCAGGCTAGCGATTTCTATGTGGGCTCGAACCTGTCCGGCCCGAGATTTTGTACCTTTCCACTCATTTTCCTCAACTGCCCTTTCCCCATCTGTTTATTAAAAGTTAATGTGAGCAAGAAAAAACTCGTGCTGGCCCGTACTACTGCTATACCGTAACAATCTAAATAAGGAAACCATGCCAAAATGTTTCTAGTCCACAAACACTGCAATACGTTAATCTTACGTATTCGGTCGGCACTTGAACAGCACAAAAACTGAAACTATGAAAAGAACAACAACAATACCGAAGCTGAATTTTGCAGTGTGCTGAACTAAAACATTACTGTCTGGGCCTGGGTCAGCAGCTGGCAAACTGGTGGCCGGTCTGTTCCCAAGTGGTACATCTTCCTGAAATGCAATTTCCTCGCAATCTCTGAGACGTACATCGATGCTCCCAAAAATCCCTTTTGCAAACAACTGAATTTAGTAACCCAGACATATTCGTGGTTATTACAGCAGACAATTAGAATTAATGGAGAAAACAAAGTCAGTGCTGACGAAGGAACCCAAAATTCCCAAATGCAAGACAAGTTTAGTACTATCACGGTTCATGCGGTCTTTTGGCTCAGACATTCCACCATAAGCTCAGCTAAAATAACAGAAAGCCACTTGTTAGTCAGTAAAAAAATCGAGACACCTGGTGCCATTGCCCAAAAATATTCTGAAATTATAAGTCGTTCAAGCGATCTGCCGCACTCCCAAGCACTGTATTTTTCACGCTACCCATGTTATGCAAAAGAAAAAAAAGAAAATAAGGAAAAATACAAGTTACGAATAAGAAAATTAATGCATTGAGATGGCCTAATTAAACTTAAGAGAAAATTGTAAAAAAGTCGAAATAGGGAGAGAGAAAGAAGCGGAACTGTGGCATCCTAAGAATCGATATCTCAGCGTTCGTTTAACACCAATTCGGTCCGGTTGAGCTTTTGCACAACCTGCAGTTGCTGTCCTGTCAACTTAAGGGCAGGAATAACTGCAGAAAGTAAATGTTAAAATCATGAATAAATAATTAATGCACAACATCACATACAATGGGGAACAATTAAAAAAGCAACAAAATAATGAAACACGAGCTGGGACCAAATCTGTGAGAACTCTGATGAAATATGCAAAAATTCGATGGAAATTTGGGAAGACTGCAAGCAAAGCAGGTGTGGGAATACTATATTTAGACAGCGATAAAAAAGCAGATTTCTGAACGGCCAAATATCTGTCCTTTTTGAAAGTTAGTTTTTCAGGAAAATTCAACTCCAGTCAGTTGAGAGAGTGAAATGCATGGGAACGATGTGACTTCCATCATCAAAAAATAAGTAATTAAATGCAGTAAACAGTCTGTGAAAAATGCATGCACAAACAATGAGGTTACCAAATTGGCATGCCCTACGGACTAATACAAGAGGAGCATACTAACACGATTTGAATTCTTTTCCCTTCCCCCTTTCAACATTCCCACTTCTCAAAATTTTCGCTCATTCCAAAATTTCAGCCTGAAATTTGAAACTGACTGTACGGAAGGAGAGCGCACAGCACTGGGATGATATCTGACAGCCAATTAAACTGATGCAACAAAACTGAAGCAAAGCTTTGCTGTTATTTCGGAGGATCGGAGCGTACCATAAAAATGCCTTCGGCTGTTTTCCACAATGCCGCATTCCTGGTTGTTGAAAGGGCCACCACTTCGAATTGACCACTTATGGGCCTCCCATACTGCTCACCGCTCGTTGACAAATACTTGCCTGAAAGAAAAACCCCTTTAGTTTATCTGAAACACAAATATGCTGCATTTTAGCTTAAAATATCCTACAGCAGCACAGAAATCAGGAACACTGGCCTCCTGCACGGTTATCGGCAAATTTGCAGGGACTTTGCGCCTCACAGATTAAAATCTCAGTTTCCGCCAACAGCTTCC